GAGCCATGAAGAGAGGAGGGAGATGAAGAGACAGGAAGGGAGAGAGAGAGAGAAAGAGAGGGAGGGAAGGAGAGAGAGAGAGAAGGAGGGAGGGAGAGAGAAGGAGGGAAGGGAGAGAGAGGGAGCCACAGAGCCATGAAGAGAGGAGGCAGAGACCCGGAGAGGGGGAGTGACTGACAGCAGGATGAGAGGAAAGGAGGAGAGGGAGACATGAAGGGAGAAGGGGGCGGTGATGGAGGGGGGGGAGCGGCCGAGGCTCCTCGGGGAGGGCAGGGTCTGGGCGCCGCTGGGAGGGGGCCCGCGTAGCTCCCCAAAACCGAAGGGGAGGGCCCTGGGTGGGCCCTTCCCGGGAGCCGGGCAGGTGGGCGCCACGACCCTGCCCGCTCCTTTCCCGTGATCCGGGGCCGCAGAGCTGAGCGCAGCGTCAGGCGCGCGAGTCCCACGGGTGCTCCGCCCGCTGGTGGGCGTCAGGCGCTGGGGAGGGGCCGAGGAGGGGGAGAGAGGAGTCGCTCCCGCGGTTGTCATGGAGACAGAACGCTCTCCCTCCCCGTGGAAAGCTGACTGATTTACTCATTGGAGCAGACGTGTCCGCTTTCAGCGCCCTTGGTCAAGAACATGCGCAGTAGGCATGCAGGGGCGGGCCGAAGGAAGGCTCAGGGTGAATGCTGGGAAGTGTAGTCGAAGGTTGCCGGGACGCAGGCGCACTGTGTCACCCGAGGGTCGGAATGCGCGCGTAGTTCCGTCCACCATTGCAGCCCTTCTCCGCCCTTTTGGCCTAGATGCTTCTGCCGGTGTCTGTTTTCCCGCGCCCCCAGGGAAGCGCCTTCGCAGGCGGTATGTGCCGCGGACCCCAACGCCCCACTGCCTTCCAACCGCGCCAGAGGCAGGGAAAGGGCGGGGACTAGTGACGTCACAAAGGCTGGTCTTCCAGACCACAGAGGAGCTGCGGACCTGGTGACGTCACCTGTTGCTGGGTTCTCTAGGCGCAGGCGGAGAGGGGGTGGGACGGAGGAGGGGCGGGGATAGTGACGTCACCTGTTGCTGGGGCCCCAGGAAGAAGAGGAGCTGAGTCTCCTGCGGTCTCCAATAGTTGGGCGCACAGCAGGTGTCTAATATGTGCCTGTTGAATCCTAGGATGGGATAGAATGATAAGCTGGCCTCAAAGTCAGCGGAGGCCCATGTTCTTTCTAAGCCTCAGTCTTCTCATGTGGACAATGGGGACAGGGATTCCCTCAGTCCTCAGTCAGTGGGCTCTTGGAAGCTCAGAGGACCCCTTCCGCAGCCCTAGGAATTTGAGCCTATCCTTTGGCTGCTGGCTGGGTGATCTTGGGCAGGGGTCCTCTTGAACCTCAGGTTCCTCTTCTGGCCCAGGAGACAGTGATCTGGGAGGGGTCAGTTCTCCAGTCTGCCTTATGTGCCCCGAGGGTCCCATGTCATAGATTCCTGTGGCTGAGCTGTGGAACGGAGGCCTCGGCTCCCTCCTGCTGACGTCCCCCTCCTGCCCACAGCAGCCACCCTTGAGGGGACGGTCAGCAACGCCCCAGGCTGGGCCCCTGGAGGGTGACTTCCTGTGCGGACTCCCAAAGTCAGTAGGCCTGACCTCTGTCCACCTGAGGAAGCCCCAAGGCCAGAGGACCCGGCCGAGAACTCGGACCCTGAGACTGCAGGGGAGATTGGCCGGCCCCAGTGAACCCCCACTGAGGACGGCTTAGCCCTGGTGGCCTGGATGCTTGAGCAGGGAGGTAAGAAGGGGATTTGGAGTCAGGGGCCCTGGGTTTGATCTTTAAGGCATGTTCCTGCCTTTTCCTGAGCCTCAGTTTCCCCAACTATAAAATGAAGGGCTCTTTGAGCTGTGACAAATCATGTAGTGGAATGGAGAAGTGGGTTTTCAGCATTTATTGGGGGTCAAGTGTGGGTGAAGGGCTGGAGATGGATAGAGCAAGACCTTCCCTCCTGCTCTCCAGCATACACAGGTTGGGGTGGGATGTTGGGGTTTACACTAAAGACCAGGGAAGGGGACGGAACAGACCTCTGTGCAGCCCTCTTCAGTCATGGCTGACCCTTCCCTTGGCGAGGGAGCTGGAACCCTCCCTGCTCCCCATAGTCACTTCTGGCTTCTCCCCCTTCCTCACCACTCAGCGACCTCGCCTCCTCCGAGGTCTGCGCTGGTCACACCTACCACCCAGTTAGGGGCCGAGGTCCCACAGGACGCACCCCTTCCTCCCTGCAGGAGCTCGGTACCAGCTCACAGACTTCTCCCCCCCAACTCCTGCTCTCCTAACCGGAGACTTCCACTAGACACTAACTCTCCCTCAGACACCCAAACCACTCAATTCCTCACCCTGCTCACCTCCACCCCCCTTGGGCATACACAAAGATGGCCACACGCTGGATCTTGGCATCACCCACAAACATAGTACCTCCATGGTTATTCACCTCTGTGGTCTAGAATTCTGGAATCCCCTTATCCAACCATGATCTATTGACTTTTCCCCTCTCCCTCTGGCTCCCCTTACATAAGCCTGCCCTCCCTGACCCCTCAGCCTTCTCCCATGCACCAGCCACCCCTTCCTCTTCTTCCCATATGGACCCCTTGGGAAACCAGCTCAGTTTCACTGTCCTCCTCTTGTGAATCTCTCTACCTTTTATCGTATCCCCCCATGCCTCCCAAGCCTCAGCCTTGACTCACTCCTACCATTCATCCCCTTGACGCATACACCCGTTGGGGAAAGGAGGGGGAGAAAAACCCGGACTCGCCCCCCCCCCCCCACACTCTGGTCCATTTCACCTCTCCTGCATCTCTGATCCATTTCACCTGTGCCTCATCTCTGATCCATTTCACCTTTGTAGCATCTCTGGTCCATTTCACCTCTGCAGCATCTCTGGCATCTCTGGGCCAAGTTCACCTCTGCAGAATCTCTGGTCCATTTCATCTCCACAGCATCTCTGGCCCATTTCACCTCCGCATCATCTCTGGTCCACTTCACCTCTGCACTGTCTCTGGTCCATTTCGCCTGGGCAGCATCTCTCCAATACTTCCCTTTCTCTCCTCCAACACTGCCCCACCCAGGCACAGGCCCTTCGGACTACTTGCCTCTAGTCTCTCCCCACTCCAGTTCATCCTTCATTCAGTGACCAGAGGGATTTTCTTAAAGTGAAAATGTGACCATGCCTCCTCCCTTTAACGCTTCCCCCCCCAGATAACCTTCAGAGGCTTCCTGTTGCCTCTGGGAGCAAATACAAAATGCTTCATGTCAGTCAATCTGTATACATTTATTAAGTGTCTTCTATGATACTCCAGGCACTGCACTGGGGATACAAAAACAGGCAAAAAAATTTTTCCTGATCATCTGCTCAGCTGCCATGGCCTCAGGCATCACCATATGGTAGGTTCTCCCTGCCCCCCCCCAAGAATTCCTGGCTTTGAGACAGCTGGTGGTGCAGTGGATGAAGCATTAGGCCAGGAATCAGGAAGATCTGAGCTGTAATTCTGCCTAGCTAGCTGGGCAACCCTGGGCAAGTCTTTGATCCTCTGTCTGCCTCAGTTTCCTCATCTGTAACATAGGGATAATAATGGTACCTACCTTGAAGGATGCTGTGAGGACCAGATAAGAGAATACTTTCAATGATTCATTAAGTCAATAAATAGTTAAGGCCCTATTATGTGCCAGGCACCGTATAAAGCTGTGGGGATTTAAAAAGAGGCAGAAGACAGTCCCTGTCCTCAAAGAGCTCACGTTCCAATAGGGAAGACAGCAGATACAAACACGTATACCAGGCAAGCTCTATCCAGGATAAGTAGGAGATAATTAGCAGAGGGAAGGCACTGGCCTTAAGGGGGGTGGGGGAAGCTTCCAACAGAAGGGACTTGGAGGAAGCGAGGGAAGTCAGTAGGTAGAGGGAAGTGGTAGAGAACATTGTAGGCATGAGGGATGGCCAGAGGAAATGCCCAGAATGTGAGGTGGAGGGTTTTGTTGGTGAAACAGCCAGGAGCACCTCCACCCCCTTACAGGAAGAATCAGAGCTAGTGACTTCCTCCTCATCTATGCAAGGTGAGAGGCTGCATCCCCAGCCAATGAGGGACCAAGGGCTCTTGACTCTAGTTACCTCCTGGGAAGGGGGGATAGGTTGGGGGGGGTCACCATCCAGCCCCCATAAGAACAGGACAATAAGGCTGGAGGCAGAGGAAGGGAACAGTTTTTCCATGGCTTATGTGAGCTGGGCCTTGACCTTGGGTTGGGTTCTGGGTAGCACTAGCCAGGCTGGGCCTGGGGAGGGGAAAGGACAGGATGGGAAGGGCGGGGCATGGGGAGAAGCCACCTAATGGCTCAAGGGGCAGAGGATCATGGGTTCTGGGGAAGAGGGGGCTCCCCTGACTCTGGTGCCCTGACCGTCCCCTTCCTGCCTCCCACTCCCCACTGGGGTCTTCTGGTATGGTGAGAAGGGCCAGGCTTTGGTCTCAGAGTAATGGCGCCGATGACACCTACTGGCTCTGTGATCTCGGGCTGTCATTTGCTCCCTTTGAGCCTCAGTTTCCTCACCTGCAAAATGGCCGCTTGGTTGGCCCGCACAGTGTTACCTGCTGGCTGTAGACATGAGTCTTCAGCCTCCTGATCGTTCCTCTGTCTATTCGGTGGCTCCAGGGTCTTTCCCTGCCCATCCTGGGACATCTTGTCCGTGTCTGTCCCTCTCCGTGTTCCCTCCTTTGAGTTACTGAGCTCAGGCCCTTGGAGAGGCTCCAGAGGGTTGGGGGGTGATGGGTGGGACCAGGTGGGTCTGGGGCTGCTCTCCCTCATGGTCCCTTTGTCCTCCCCAGCTCTGCCCTCTGAGGGGACAGCCCGCACCCAGACTCCAGGCAAGGACTTAGATGAAGGCATGGCCCCCACAAGGCCCCCAACAGACACTTCCAAGGTGAGCTGGGGTTTCCTCCTTCCTTCCTGAAATATTGCCAGGTCTCAGGGCCCCCCTCCTTGTGCCTGCAGTGGCCTTTGCTGTCCCTGCTGCTCCCTGGGGATACTGGGCTCCCCTGGAAGGTGATGGATACCTTGGGAGACAGGCCCCATGGCTCCCTGATGTCTTCTCCTTGTCTATCCCCTGCTTCCTGAGTGGGGGCTGCCCCTAGGTTCCCTTAGCTGCTGCTCATTTGGGGCAATTCACAGTAGCCAGGGTCACTCCTTTCCTCCTCATCCCTTGCCAACAAGGTGCTGGTGGGCCGTGTCTTTTTTTCTGACCCCCAGGCCTATCTTCTTTGTACCCGGCCTGGTCTGGTCTTTGCCACAGCTGAATCTCCCCTTCCCCACGATGACCATCAGGCCCTCAGGGCAGAGACTGTGGTGTGTCCTGCATCTGGACCCCACTCCCCACTCCAGGAGACCCTTGGTAAAAGCCCCAGGTCTCCAGCCCAGCCAGGCCCTGTCCAGATCCCCTGGGGGCCTTTGTCCTTCTGTTCCTGGGCCAGCAGGCGTGTACTTGGTGTTTCAGGAGCCTGTGACCTTCAGGGACGTGGCCGTGGACTTCACCCCTGAGGAGTGGGGGCGGCTGGGCCCCTCTCAGAGGCAGCTGTACCGGGACGTGATGCTGGAGACCTACCGGAACCTGGTCTCCCTGGGTAAGGCAGCTTCCCCTGCATCCCCCCTCCCTTAATTCAGTATCTGCCGGGAGGGAGGGGGTAGAGAGAAGGAGGGAGCCAGGGTTGGGGTCTCTGGGAGCTGAAAGCTCAGAACCCTAGGAGAGGTCAGTCAAGCCCCCTGGGCTCCTGACAGCCTTCATTGGGTTCTTTCCCTTCTCTGGGTTTTAGTTTCTTCATCCATAGAATGGGGAGCTTGGATGAGGCTCAGAACCTGTGACCTGTAAGAGGCGTCTGTCCCCACGGCTGTCCTGGGGCCAGGCAGTGTCCAGCAAGGGGCTGTCCTGTGGAGGGACTGGGCCTGAGCTCAGCTCGGTCTCCAGCACACATTGAGGATTCTCCCCTCTCTACATCACAGGACTGCCTGTCTCCAAACCGGACATGATCTCTTGGCTGGAGCAAGGGGATGGCAGCCTTCTCCGAGCACTTCCCCACCGTCCTCCAGGTCATTCCCCGTTCTTTGTCCCTGAACTCATGGCCTCGTTCTCCACCCGCTCACATTCTTGGGGACCTCAGTGTCTGTCCTGATATCCTGGCAAGCACCCTGGCCTCAGTCCTCAGGTGTTGCCCAGTCCCCCAGGAGTGGTCACTAGTGGAGCTCAGCCTGTGATCTCTGCAGGGTTCAGCTCTAGGACCCAGGATTCTCTATTCTTTCCTGTATCTGTGGGTCCATCTCTCAATCTGCTGGCTCCTCCCAACCTCATGTTAGTCTTCAAGCCCCTGCCCTGCCCAGGCATGACCAATGCCCGTGACCTATCCCCGCCTGCTCTTTCTGCTGTCCCTGTGTCATCCCTCCTCCTGGTGCCACCCCACCCCCACATGCTGTCTCCTTCTCCCCTGTGCCATGTACCCCTCCTTTCCTGTACTACAGATCTAGTGAGGATGCCTCCTGGGTCTAGAGAGATCTCTCTCAGGTCTCCTCTGGCCCTGAGGCCATGGCTTCCCTGAACTCTGATGGGGACAGCTCTCCTGTTCAGGGTGTGTCTCTGGACGTGAACTCTGAGGGCCTCTGCCACTCCCTTCCTTGGCCCAGCTTCTGGTTCTGCCCTCAATGGAGCCAGAAGAGCAAGCCTGGCCTTCCAGAGATATCCGAATATATTGTGTCCCCCCAGAGACTGAATGTGTGCAGTCCCTGGGGAGCTGGTCCTCAAAGGATTTTTACCATGAGAGGGTAGAGTTAAAAAGTCATCTTGTCCAGCCCCTCATTTGGGCAGATTCAGAAATAGGCCCAGAGGGGAGAGACTGGGCATTCAGTGCAGAATGGGGATTTAAACCCAGGCCCCTGACTCCAAATCTGAGGTCTTTCCTCTGCTCTCCTACTTAGCACTTCAACATCAGTCAGTCAATCAGTATCAGACATTGTGCAAGTGCTGGAGATACAAAAAGAGGCCAAAGACAATCCCTTCCTTCAAGGAGCTCACAGTTTGGTGGGGGAGGTCACAAACAAGCTCTATCCAGGATAAATAGGAGATAATTAACAAAGGGAAGGCACTAGAATTAAGAAGGGTTAGGGAAGGAGGTAGGATTTTAGTTGAAACTTGAAGGAAGCCGGGAGGAAGAGCATTCCAGTTATGGGGGACAACCAGAGAAAATGCCCAGAAACAGGAGATGGATTGAAGAGCATGTGTTGAAGAGCCATTGGAGTTTGTTGAGAAAGGGAATGTTGGCCCTGAGCTTTCGGAAAATCATTTTAGTGGTTGACTGGAGGATAGATTGGAGTGGGGACATACTTGAGGCAGGCAGACTCCCCAGCAGCTGTTGCATCAGACCAGGCGTGTAGTGATGAGGGTCTGCATCAGGGTGGGGGTGGTGTCAGGGAAGAGAAGGGAACGTATAGGTGAAGTTGACCAGAGATGCTGCCGAGGTAAAACGGACCAGAGATGCTGCCAAGGTGAAATGGACCAGAGATGCCGCTGAGGTGAAACGGACCAGAGATGATGCAGAGGTGAAATGGACCAGAGATGCTGCAGAGGTGAAATGGACCAGAGATTCTGCAGAGGTGAAATGGACCAGAGATTCTGCCAAGGTGAAATGGACCAGAGATGCTGCATAGGTGAAATGGACCAGAGATGCTGC